CACTCAAAATGGATTTGCCATGATTCTTAAATCTCCTTCATTATATTAGCATCTAAATCCTCTAACAAGTTCCATGCAATGGCTGAAACAGACATAAAATATAAAAATGAGAAACAGCATGTGATACTAATGTTACATTTAACCAGACTGAATAAAAATAAATAAGCCTTTCAAATCTGAATACTAAAACAAAAGGATGCAGCTCATTTTCTGCATTGATCTGAGTCAGTGTATAGCCACAGAATACTAATGAAATCTTAATTTGAAACTACTCCTACATGCCTCAATTCACCGGCACCAATACCTAACCAATTAAAACGAATCTCATCTGCAATTTGAAAATCATCAGGCCTAAATATTTCAGAAATGTACAAAACACGTCATCAATTTAAATTTGATTCTAAATTTAAAATGCCAGGCAAAGCAGAAAGTTGAAGCGCGTCGTCCTTGGGAATTCATACAACTATTAGCAATGCACAGCCAGTGTTCCTTCATTAATCAGCACTAATTAAGACTATTGATTGAAGAAAACATCAGGATTTCCATCTGAAAGGGTTTACTAGACTGTAAACTGTAAGCTCTACAGGTGATGAAATAGCAAGGTAAAGATCCAAAAGATTTGCCTTTGCCCTTGGTTCAAGCTTCACTTTGCAAACCAGCTCAGAAAATGAAACCAAAAATGCCCCTGCTTCCCTGTCATTAAGCGCTGTCAGGACGAATCAGAGCTCACAGGCCAGTGGTGCTGCACAAAGCAGCGCTCAGTCTCTCATTGTTGAGCCTCCTGTCTCACTCTCACACATGCTCAGTCACACAGAAGGTTAGGCTTGACAACAACGTCCCAGGACTCAAAACATAACACATCATGGTCATATTGAACTAGAGGTAATAGGTACAAGCAGTCAACATCATCAAACATTCTCATTATTTTCATATTTGCTCTAAATTATGAATCTTGTGCATCATTTATTTCATTTATAATATTGTTGCTGTAATATTGTATTATTAATGATTCTCTGGTCAAATGTAGTGTCTGTATTTACATAATAACTAAATATTATATTGGGCGGAACAAAGTTGTACACCTTTTCACCTTTTAAACCTATTAGCAAACGCAGCGCCTGAAATAAATTGACTCTAAACTGAGCTGTATTTAAATTTAATGTGTAATTTTTTTACAATATACACATATTAAAATATGTTCATGGGGAAAAAACTAAACACAACAATGCCTTTTTAGTTTGTCTTGAAGGAATAATTGGGCAGAATAAATAGTGAGCACTGAGCAGCCAAATAATGAATATCTTCTCAACAAGGCTGCTGTTTAATTAGGCTAAAAGCTCAAGACTGGAAACAAAAGCTGCATTACTGTATTGGCAAAGTACATTTATGACTTTTTGACAGATGGCTGTAATGCAGTCTAGGCAAGTCGACTAACCAACATGCAGGCAAACACAGCCCTAGATATGCCAGACAGACAGAGAAACAAATGCGAGTAAGACAAAACTGTGCACACATGCAACAAGACCCATGATGTTTCTCCATATTCTGAAGTTAATGCAGGTCATGTACACTTTGAAGATGAGCACTAAAAAAATAACGTCTGATTTTAATGTAAATAACAGAAATATGCATCTCATCTTAAATCATAAAGGTATATAGACCTGATCGGTGTCGCGTCATAGCTGTGTGGGCGGAGTCGGCGTGGGGCAAAACAATCCATTCCCCCTCATTGGAAAAGCATGGTGTTGACTCAGAATGGCCTACATAAAATCATTTCTGCCGCTCGACAGAGCAACATACGTAGAAAAACTGAGCCATATTGGGTTAGACTGTCCGTCTGTGACTGGACAAACGACCCAACAGAATGGCCAGAGGTGTCGTTTCCCGACATTTTTGTTCCCTGATTGCTTACTACAAGCCTATACTTGACGGCTTGTGAAAGTAAACATTTGTCGTTTTGTTTAATTTTAATAAAGTGATAAAGACTTGAGTAAAAGCCTGTCGTACTTTTTTATTGATATATTAAAAATAATTTTAACATTGACAAAACAGGTAACATTATTAAGGTCCAGGTAACATTATTAAGGTCCACTGAAGCACCTTGAAATGCGCAGCGTTATTCTATGTGGTGTGTGCTGTACGTATAGCCTAATCATTTTCACAAATACATGCCGTAAAATAAAAAGATAAAATAACATGAAAATATCCCTTACGAAAATTAACCGTGGTTACAACCAAAAAGCATGGTTACTATAGTTAAATCATGGTAAAAACAACATGTTTTGCTACACTAACCATAGTTTAACCATGGTATTTGTAGTAAAATTGTGGTTATAGGCTACAATTGGTAATAAAAACGCCAAAAAAAAAAATATGATTAGCCTACTATACTTTTATTATAGAAATACCATTGCTAATTTTTGTAAGTGATTGTGTATAATAATATGAATATCAGGGTCAGGGAGTGAGATTTATTTGATTGTGATGCGAAGGAGGGTTACTGTAAGCCCCATCAGAACTGGGTTGCGGTGCAGGGGGAAGAAACAGAGTCACCCACATCTTGGATGCCCTGGGGGTAAGCAGATAAACATCAAAGTTGCAGTGTTGCGCAGTGTTATTCTATGTGGTGTGTGCTGTGACTGGCTAATCATTTTCACAAATACATGCCGTAAAATAAAAAGATAAAATAACATGAAAATATCCCTTACGAAAATTAACCGTGGTTACAACCAAAAAGCATGGTTACTATAGTTAAATCATGGTAAAAACAACATGTTTTGCTACACTAACCATAGTTTAACCATGGTATTTGTAGTAAAATTGTGGTTATAGGCTACAATTGGTAATAAAAACGCCAAAAAAAAAAATATGATTAGCCTACTATACTTTTATTATAGTAATACCATTGCTAATTTTTGTAAGTGATTGTGTATAATAATATGAATATCAGGGTCAGGGAGTGAGATTTATTTGATTGTGATGCGAAGGAGGGTTACTGTAAGCCCCATCAGAACTGCATGGGTTGCGGTGCAGGGGGACGGGAGTAATGACAGATCATTGCAAGGTAAGCAGTAGCCTATCTGGAGTGCATATAAATATGAATATTACGCTTGATATGTTTCATACGTTGTATATCCATAACTACTGTCAGAGTTCTGATAATGTGTGCTACCCGCTCAGTGCTACCTCCGGTAGTCCGTCTATTTATTCGGCATATAAATCTTCAGATCGGGTTTTTTAACTAATTAGAGGTACAGAACGCCACGCAGCAAATTTTCGGCATTGCACCAAGCAAAAATCAATCGAAATCATCACAAAAAGTAAAGATCAAGCGCCTAACAAGGTCTTTGCGCGTGGTTTGTTTTCCCCCGCAGCATAAACGGTTATGACGTTTTTGGGGGCGTTCCCAGCAATGCCGAACAAGTCAATTGGTCATTCATCTATATAGCCTAACATTAGTTTGCAATGAGAACGTCAATAGTGTTGATGTTATGAGACATTTAACTTGGTTATTAACAGCAAGAGAGAGCAACTGCCTCATTCACAACCTGAAAAGCTCAGACATATCTATACATTTCAAAAATAAAGTTACAAAATAAACACTGTCAAATCAGAAACAAATGATGTCCCACAAAACAGCATACATCAATGTAAACAGTCTTATGTATGACAATAAACAGTGCAGGGCCAACCAGTTATATTTTATATAGAGCTGTTCTTGTCTATATGAAGGAATATTGTCTCTGATATTGCTGCTGGAAAAAATGACTATACTATATCACCTAAACCTGCTATATTTCTATATTTACAGGACCGCATCTGTTTGGTTATGCACAGGGGCTCTGAACGGCTCAATAAGGCTGTCAAATTGCTCAACAGAGCCATCTAGTGGCCCCAAAACTTTAAATCAAAAGTAATGAATGGAAAGAAGACGCTCCCGGGCGACCAGTGCGTCGTTTCCCCTCAAATGCTTTATGCCTTTGATGGAAAAAAATCTAAATAAATAAATAAAAACTGGTAATAACTCACCTATTCAGTAAATGCATGACGTATTTGTCAGTCTTCATTAGCACACATAAACTCGTTTTAGGAATACCTGTTAATGTTTTAAAATGACAGCATTACATTTACAACCCACGTAAATTACGTTGGTAAGACAAGGTTTCACAGACATCAAAACATTACGAGTGGTTTGATAACGTAATATTATATAGGCTACTATTAATTATAATATTAGCCTACGTTAGTAAGAGATTCAGTTAGCAAGATTCTATAAAATATGGATAGATTAAGTTCGCATATTTTATTTTATTATATTGACATATAGCTACGACAACGTCCTTCCCTAGCTAAAATAATTAGAGGCAAAAAAATCTCGACTGAATGAAGACACTGACTGAAGAACTGTACTGGATACGATACGTCAACTTTATATGAGAAAATCTACCACGCTTATAAATAAATATAGACTGCAGCGATGTATGTTGGCCAAATTGACAGCTCACACAATCGATCTTGTCGCCCAAACTGAGCTAAAATTATATATGATAAAAATAGCGATCAATTAAAAAAATATATAAAATAACTTAATTTTCTCCCAAAAACATTTTATTTAACTGTTACTTCCATTAGCGATCTTACAGAATGTAAACTGTAACTGTAACTGTAAATGTCTTATATGTATAGGGTATAAAAGAGTATTAGGACATCATTAATGAAACCTGTATGTCCTATATGAACCTTTATTGACCAGTCTAACTATCACCTGAAATTATACTCGAATAATAATGTTCAAAGACTACATTTATAAAGTCGTCTGTATATAGGCTATAGAAATCTATAGAAATTCAGCAATATATTCATCCCGTTAACTGAAAAGCTTGTATATGATTCAGCAACACAGTGCATATATGAATATTTTGAATACAATTGTATTGCAGATTACAGTGTATTACTATAGGCTAAAGAAGTAAAATACAAAATAGCCTACATAGGCCTACCTTTTCCTGGTCTGTTTTACTTTCCCTGATCCAAAATCGCTGCTTGCTGTTCGTCCATAGTCTTCGTCTCTGAAATTAAACTCGCCACTTTTTTCGTAGGTAATTTATGGCAGACTACATGAAGAAGAGTCCTGGAGAGTATTTGATAAAATTCGCTGTACCATTCGCCTTTTCAGGCTAGTGCTGTCAGAGCGTTGCGCAGCGCCACATCCTCTGTAACCGACACTGTTGCCGAATGTTTCTGCCTCTCGCGCGGCCTCATTTTAAACTCACGTGACGTCAGAGATCATGGTGCTGAAACTGCAAGCGCTTATCTAACAACTCATAGGCTACGTTTATTTGGAGAAAATACAGTTCTCGGTGAACTTTTACTTCAGTATCACACTTTAAGCAAAACCACAATTTTTAGTAAATACAGTGAAAATAATAATAAAAAAGTTAACATTAATCAAATTTCACTGTTTACAAATTCCTGCTGTTGTGAGCAATTGTTCTAATGAAAAAAAGTAGGCTATGTCGTCTGGATTTTTCATCAATATTTAATTTTGAATAACTTTCGCCGCCTTTGAAACGACTGAAGTCACAAAATCCACTTATTTTTTTGCAAGCCCTCCCATTTACCCAGCTGTCACGTAAGGTGCGTCCCAGTTTGACTATTCTATTCCATTTTGTATAATTTTTGTAGTGTGAGTAGTACATTCACACTGAATTTTTATTTTTTTTAAGTGTACTTCAAATATGATATACTTAATTGACCGAAAGAAAAAACAAAGTGTGGAATGTTGAGCATACTTCCCTACTAGGCAAAAAACATTATGTAAAATGAGTAGTAACCTATGTCTGAATTCAATAAACAGTATTCATAAAACTGTAAGCAATAAGTACTTCCCTACTATACACTGGATACTGAATAACTCTTACTATTTCCACCATATAAAGACAGCCATGACAGCCACACTATGCCTAAGAGTAGCATGTTATTATGCTTTTGTGAATTATTGGGAACCACTTTTTAGCCATCCAATCAAATCCCCATGGTACAAAACCTGTATTTCAGATTAGACATTAGATTACAGAAGTAAATATGGGTTGCAAATTAGTGTGTTATACTGATTTTTAATGTACATTGAATGCAGAAAAACAGCTGTGTGGGTAAAAAGATGTTAATCAATATAACAAAATCTTTGTTTTCCTCAATTTCACATTTAATCATTTAATTATTTTACAATGAATTTTATTTTACACAATATTTTTAATGTAGCATAAAATGATAAAATAAATCTAGCCTACTAAGGTTATTGTGTTGATTAGGCTTGTCATTTTGCACCATCCTTTTAACTTAATATTAGCATTTTTTCTTATGTTTATTGATAATAACAAAATACACAACAGTCTTTTTCTTCATCCATCTGTTGGCAGTGAGTAAATAAAAGCCAAAATTTAGGAGCAGAGTACTAGCCTGTATCCTAGGTCCATCCTTTAACAGATCCTTCATGATAACTTTATAATATGCCATTACTAGCTCCACAAGACAGGATAATGCAGACAATAAAAGATCTTAGATTTTCTGTGGAAATAAAGCCTTTCACAGATCCCAAACATGTCTTGAATAAAAATGACTTACAAGAACATTTATTACAGCGAATCAGTTTCAGCTCATAAATATAATTTTCTGTTTTTGCTTACTGTTTTTCAAAGTTATGCATCATTAATTTGACAACTCTTCAATTTTAATATATGATGTTCCTAAGAGGACATGATTTCTTGCATACCTAAATGGAAATTCTGTAATTATCCAGATCTGCTTTTTATGAAATCACAGGGGGGAGCCTATCAGAATAGCTGACAGAGCAAATCTGCCTGTTGCACCAAATTGTTGAGTAAGATACTGATAAATTATGCTTATAGTTAGAAAAGGCTATAGTTTACTCTTTACACTGCATCACAATCTCTCTGTCAAAGCCGATTTGTTGAGAGTCAAGATAGATGCAGTTACATTCTTATTCGGAAATGTTGGCTAAATATTTTTCTAGGCCTGGTAATGCACAATTTACCTTAGAGTAATTAACTCTGAATTTGACATTCTCCATGATCAGAGTACAGATGGTAATAATATTAGTATAGGAAAAGATATAGTAGTATAGGAATAATATCAACCACAATGGCACTAAAAACAGCAGATGAAAGGATGGCATGAGCAGAGATAAGTAATTAGGCTAAATCCACAAAGCACAATAACTGGACTGGTTCCAGCATAAACATAGATAAATGCTGAGAAAGAAACCACTTGGAAGGAGCAAAGGAGATGCATCTGTTTACTAAGCTGCAGACAGATTTAAGGCCTTAAGGAGTGTAGAGAAGATTTGTATAAATTTATGTTTAATCTCCAAATGGGGCTGGTTGCCCTTCCTGCGAAATGTGGTCTAAATAAGTGTCAATTTTTTTAATAGATATTTGATCTTTATTTTTCCTCTTCAGGATAGTATTGTATTGTATTAATTACATCATTCCAGAATTGGTTTACTGGTCCATCTTGCATAATAAAATGATCCAAGACACTGAGATTGCAACATGGACATGTTTATGACTTTTCTAAATAGGTACGATGTGTTTTCTATATAATTTTAAACTGGTTAAATTGTAACGTTTTATGTGAAATCATATGTTCCTTAATAGCTACAAAAAGCAACAAATCAACCATTATTTTAAGGAGTTAATGATGTAAGACCAATGACCAAAATATAATGCAGAATACATTGTGTTGGTTAAGTGATTATTATAGTATATACATTCAGTCCAGTGTAAATGCTTCACCACAGGCACAGGCTGCTACGTTTCTATTAAAGCAACACTTTTATGGAAGTTATATGGACTTGAGATGTTTGTTTTGCAGCGGGGACTTTGTTTTCATTTTAAAGTCAATTCAAACTTGTAATAGACAGTTACTTCCAAATTGCACGGAGACCTGAATAACAGTACATTTAATATTTTTCTATAGGCCTGTATCATCTATTGCCAGGGTTTTCAACCAGGGAAAGTACTGCAGGGGGTCCATACTCCATAGAGAAGAATATTCATAAACAAACAAGTGTTTGAATTTACCAAGGATAAAACTTTACGATCAAGATTTTTATATTGGGGGTCTGGGTCTGTAGAAGTTGAAAACGTGCAATCTAATATACAGAAGTTCTGTATTCAAATACATAAGGACATAAAAAGGCTGGATGCTGATAAATGATTGTTGAAATTTCTTATAGTTTTAATTAGCAGACAAGCCTAATAAAAACAATGCGGCGTAATAGTGCATTTACACCAGCAGATGGGGTCATTGTCCATAAGCGGTCATGCTGTCCGGAAGACAGATGTAAATATTTTCATGACGTAAACAGACAATCTCTGTACCCAACTTCTACTGTCGTCCACCGCTAGAAACACTCAGTTTCTCTCTGAATAACCTATTCTTCGAAACAGCCTTCATCCTACCTGTCAGAAGACCATGCGAGGTTGTCGTTGACTGCATTCTGTCTTTATTTATTTATTGTAAAGCAAACAGCGATTGCTAGGGTGTGATAGGCTATTCATAGCTTATACATCACTGCTCTGTCGGCGAGTGAGTTGGTGTAGTCTGCGGATCAGATTGCTCCTGTTTGAATTTCTCTTTTTACTGCCGAGAAGCCAGCTATTAGGATTCATCATGCAAAAAAGGAGGAAGCCAGAGCCGATCCAGCTGAACCCAATTCCAGACGGGAACGCTATAAACGGAACCGGGGCCACAGAGTGAGTGGGCTTGAGTCTTACGATGTAATTTCATGTCGAACAAGCTGTTAGAGGACTCCATGAAACCAGAGCTGTTTCATTCATGGATTGTTTGGCTCATTCAGATTATGGTTTGACTCTAACAGGCTGCTTAATAGATTTGGCATTGCTAGATCTGCTTGGATTGGGCATTAAATTGGTATTAGTATGGATATTTTTGAGGGTGTGTTGATTCTAAGTGTCAACTGAATTATAAAGCCCACGAATGAATTGTAAACTAAAGGTGATTATTATAAGTTGACTTACATAGTGCCAAATATGGGTCATTTTGCGAAATGGGTGCCTTTTTAAGTTTGATAAAGTGATTTTTAAAGTAAATATCCATCAGATTTTAAACGTTCTATCAAATAATCTCTTTGAGTGTTATTAAATTGTATTGTGCCATATGAAGATAAATTCATATATTGTAGTATATGTTAGATTATGGCTATGAGATTTGTAACAGGTGTGAGGATAACAAGGTTGGCAGTTTTACAGTTTTAGCCATTGTGCTCGAGTGCATGATACTAAAAAATGTGTGTGTGTGTTTATGTGTGTCAAAACACCTTAATTCTAACAAGAAATGAGCACCAAATCAGCATATTAGAATGATTTCTGAAGGATCATGTGACACTAAAGACTGGAATAATGACTGCTGCATATTCATAGAATAAATTACATTTGAAAATATATTAAAATAGAAAATGGATATGGTAAATTATTGTAATATTTCACAATATTACTGTTTTTACTGTATTTTTGTATCCTTTGTGAGTATAAGCGACTTCTTTTGCCCCAAAGTTACTGTTTTTTTGGGCTGTGCTTAGAAAAATATCTAATTAAAACAGAAAAAGTTTGTCCCAGTTATTTATCGTTTAAGTAATTTTGTGAGGAAAACAAAATGCATGCTGTTTGTGGAATAACCCATATATTGGTGTTGTTTAGTATCCATCAGATGCACATAAAAGAGCCCACCACTAAGATCAATGAGAATACCTTATCGCATTTGGACAGAGCTGCCAACACAACACTGCTGTCCTCTGTAGTATGTTGTCCAGACATAAAGGCCCAAGATAAAGTATTATAGGAGCAGAACTGGAGAGATAAAGTACCTGAAGTTGTCTGTGTGTTTACAATTAGTAGAGGCCAAAAATCCAGGTAGTGTGTTTTGTTGTCTCTAATGTAAAAGAGAAATGTAAATGAATGTGTTAACATTCTCTGAGCCCAAGTATAATCATCCAGTTTACCTCAATATGTGATTATTAAGGATTTTAACTGAACACCAAATATAGATGCAAGTGACGGCAATGTATCGATTTGTTTGTCTGCTTCACATCCCCTCATAGATACGGTGACAGAGCACCACCTCTGTCTGTGCTACCTTCATTTGGCAGGCCTGTGATTTTTCTCCTCTTGAAGCTGA